TCCACATCACATGTGCTTCTGTACGGAAGCACAGCCGTGGGTAACAAAATTTACTCGTAAACAGGCCCTGGGCCCAACGCCAACCATCAGCATGCAATATCTATACATAGCCTCAGATCAATGAGCTGTGGGTAACTCCGGCTAACAGTAAATCCGCTTTGCACAACACAGCCACTGCTTCACAGAGCCGGAGTACAACTAGCCGGAGCGCAACAGGCCCTACCGCAACAGGCGGCGGAGGTTAGGTTACGTTACGTTAGGAGACTCATATAGTAGCTGGCCCTACTTATAGTAGCTGGCCCTACCGCAACAGCTACTCCTAACTTAGGAGTAGCTGTTGCGGTAGGGCCTGTTGCGCTCCGGCCAGTTGTGCTCCGGCCTGTATGCGCTCCGGCCAGTGACTGAACGGCGCTGTTGTGGTGGGCGCTTTGTGTCAAAAGCCGTGAAGATGCCCGGCTGCGTTACGCTCAGGAAGGTATATGAATCGTACTGTGGACTTGGGCTATGCTGACCTCTAGCTATCCACCCCTTCTGTACATTAGATATGAACAGAAGCGCAAACTGCTGTCTTTTTTATTCCGGTAGACCTACCACTGAATAATAAACGGTCAGAAATTTGATCAGTTTTTTTGGGGGGTGGGGCAGAATTACGTTAATAAATATAACTCATCTCATAAACAGAGGCATGTTTCTAAAGACAAATTTTGGCTGATTGAGTGGCGAAAAATTCAACAAACTCGCGTACACATCCATTGTCAGTAGCTACATATGATGCCACATAATCTTGTCCGTCTACAAAAACCTACTCTTCCTATAAACAACTTGACCTTCTTGGACTAGGACATTTAGTCACAAGACATGACCTATTTTTATAACACTTCTCTTTTTAACTTCACTTCTTGTTGTTTGCTTCTTTGTTTGTTTGTTTGTCCGTCTGCTGCAAATCTTATAATCTATATTTAGCACACTTCTACCTGTCCAATCGATAAGAAATTTTGCACCCTTGCGTAATGTTTGAAACAATGCATGAATCAATTGACACAATAAAGAATTTTGAAAATTTAATTTTTTTATATATTAAAAAATGAAAAAACTAATTTTTTTCAATATCAGGAAATGAAATTCGAAATTCATTGTAGATGTGTAACATCAAAGACACTATTCTTTAGAAGTGTTGTCTTTAAAAAGTAATTTTCAAACGCATATTATAAAAGTATCTAATGAACAAAAATCAAGTGAAATAACTACTCTCAAATCACTCGAAAACGCTTCGAGAGCCCTTATCCTGGCTTTGGAAATAGGTTTGGTGGTCCTCGTCAAATTCCAGTCGAATTAATTTTGGTGAAATTGAACTAGCTGATGTTTCTGTTAGAGTAGAATAGAATTGTCGGCACTGAAGAAATAGGTCCATGGCCTGTTGCCGATTCTTGAACTTTTCGAGACTTGATTGACAAGGGATCCGGCCTTTTGGTCCGTAAATTGCTAGGCATTTTAAGACTGAGCATATGCTCCTGCATAGCTTCGTCTAGTCTGTTCATGAAGATGTTCATACTCGGAGCTTCAACGATGCTATCAGGGAGGCTGTTCCACATGTCGGTGACTCGAAGCGAGAAGAAATGTTGTCGCATGGATGTGTTCCTGTCTCTTATACACATCTAGATGTGTATAAGAGACAGAGCGAAGACAGTACGACAAAAATGCTAAGAAAAGTAACTACGAAAATGGGGAACTGCTCTGGATGGCGTCCCCACCCGCGAAGAAGAAGTCACTGGGAAGCTTGTGGAAGGGCCC